GGGGGGGGGGGGGGGAAGGGGGGGGACAAAGATTGCACCTCTTGGGTAATGAAATGGGAACAATTGAGGCCGCACACCAATATCAAAACAACCCTGGAGATGTAGCACAGTCTTCTCCTCACGGCTGACCTATAAACGCCATACGACGTGAAATGGTCGTTTTGCCCGCAAACTGGACAACATTTGAAACCCGATGCAAGCCCACTTCAACCGCTGCAAGGTGGTGCACCATCCTATGCTCCAATGCTTAGTAGACCCCCCTGCACCCAAGGCTTCAAAAGCTGGTTAACTCTCTGAATTCGAGCGGCCAAGGCTTCAAGAACAGGTAAAAAAAAACTCACTCAAGACCACAGCTAAACCGAGCACCACTAATTACTCTTCTACCACTTCTCTCCCAGCCTCTATCCTCATGCTACCTTCAACTGCTGAGGAAGGACAGACAACCGAGAACTCTCCTACTTATTATCTTTTTTTCTTTTTTTCTTTTTTTCTTTTTTTCGAGTTCTTGGGAAGTGAAACTCTCCCTATCGATGCTATGAAAATGCTGATCCTGACATCATCATAATCTTAGCTTGTCGGGGAAACCTGATAAAAAGGGGTCTGATGCCCCATCCGGTCCTGGACCGTCCTCTGAGCCCATTACCCCACCCACCTAACCCCAAATAGGTGTTCGGTTCAACCACTCTTTCTCAGTTGTAATCGCATTCAATCAACTAATTGAACATTGGTCGTTGATCGTCAAGCTGTCCACATCTTCGGCACGGGCATGGGCATGGCATGGAAAAGGGCATGACCCCAGACAGGGCCAATTTGGCATTTTGGACAACAACCAGTACCGAATTCCAAAGCTGGACATGGGCATGGGCATGGCATGGAAAAGGCTGCTTCCATGCCGTAACCAGCCATGGAAGCACTTGCCCTTAACATTGGTGGAAACCTTCGATGCCTCCTTGATACTTCCAAGGGCATCCATGTCCTCCTCCGCCTCCCTTATTCTGTACAGTCAAACCGTTTGTTCAGAACGCACTCTCGCCGAAAAGGTCGACCATCAGGGACAACAAGAAACGGGAGGCTAACAACGTCTGTTCTGCCCGACTGCCACGCGATCAACCGTTTCCACTTGGACCCCAACAGTTCACACTCGATCTGCACACAACGCGCAGCAGCAGCGCACGGACAAACAACCACCGCAAGTGCTATCCCCTTAGCACCCTAGCACCATCGGTAAGGCTATATCATTCAACGGCTGACTTGGCACACGCACGGCGTCCAGCAGCAGCACAACACTGACAAATAACCCCACAGCAAGTGGTATTTCAATTTGCGCCATTGGCAGACTATTTGACGGCACTTCAGCACCCCATGCACCATAGCAGTGCACTGACAGAAATACCCACAGCAAGTATACCATATACCACCCCCCCCCCCCCCCCCCCCCCCCCCCCCCCCCCCCTCTTCCCGCCATTCGTAGAAGTATCCAGCCACCGCTGAGCTCGCAATCCATATGTTCATCGACAAAAGGTTCACGTGTGCAGATTACCATCTGCGCACTCCTGGGGACACCCACCATTGGCATACTATCATCAAGTTCAGGTGCATCCATAAAAAAAACCGTCATCATGTCCGAAGGCGAACATACAAAGCGGATGGCCACTATTGCACGCAACGACTAACAATGACACTGAATAGCAGACGACGCACGCCTATGTCGACGACTCCTTATCGCGAGAAGGTATGACGAGTCCTCCTTATTGCCAGAAGGACCCCCTCCAAGATATCCACCCACGATTCACATTAAAGACTGTCACTGTGCATATAGATACAGCACAAGGAATGGCACTCCTGCTTCCAGCATTTCTTCGAAGTTTATTTTCGAGTATAAAAAGCAGATGGGGTGGAGCTATGGCTCCAGCTTATCGTCACAACGACTCCGCAGAAGGAACGCCAGAGGGACCACCCGCCATTCACAGCAAGTACCATCATTATCCAGAGAATGGAACATGCAACTGCACTGTGGGACAGCAACCACTGCTGCATAGTAAAGCCTACAATGCACCTGCACAGAGCCGGAGATGCGACAGCCCTACATCCTTTTGCTTATAATTGTGTAGATCGTCCTGAATAAAATCCACCTTGCCAAACAAAGGCTGCCATGATGCAGAGAGCACACTCACCAAACCACAGGCAGAGAATAGCCAATAGCCTGTACAGAATAATAGCTGCCAATGAGAAAATAGCACAGCTGCCAACGAGAGAGGCTATCGCATCACTGTCACTCTGTACAGCCATGATCCACCTCACAACAACCGCCTACAGAGAATAGTCCCCCTTACCGAGCGGTGTTGTCTTTCTCAGTTACGATCACAAGACCCAATACCCTCCCTCCCTCTCAAACAGATGGCCGCAATTATGCGCAAAGGAATCGATGATAACACAGCATTATGGCTCCTGCTCAGACCATCGGGACGAACATCCCAATTATATAGCCATTCGCTCCTGCTGCACCCCACACATACAGAAATATATTCAAGACGATAATAATCAAGACAGTCCTCTTTCAGTTAGACTCGTTGGTAAGACCATGGTCCCAATTTCACTTTCAGAAATTCCAGACATGTATAATACTATTACATAACTACTATTAATACATATTTTGAAAAAAAAAGAAAAAAGGCTTTCTTTAAGCCCAACCAGTACAATTACCTGTTGAATCTGGACAGGACGGCCTTACCTATCCTGAATGCCACTTGCGTGCCTTACCAACTGAGCTAGGCCGCTCGATTACATATTACCTAGGCTACCTGAGTGGCCCGGGGCCACTTGCCCGGCCGGGCCAAAACAATTAAAAAAAAAAGGAAAAAAACATTTTCTAATTTTATTTTTTATTTTAAATATGGTAAAGAATTTCGATGTGACCCTGAGGCAAATGTTGTTCAGTTTATTTTTCTGCATAACATAATTTTTTTTCGGATTTTTTTTTTTAATATTTTGTTTTTGCTAATATGGTAAAGAATTTCGATATGACCCCGATTTTTTTTTAATATTTTGTTTTTGCTAATATGGTAAAGAATTTCGATGTGATCCCGAGGCAAAAGTTGTTCGTTTTTTTTTTTTCTGCATAGCATGGTGTTTTTCGGATTTTTTTTATTTTATTTTTTTGTTAGGACTTTCCCTGGTCCTTGCACGGCCAGGCCGTCCGGGAAAATAGGGTGTGACCCGGGCGGCCCCGCTGGTAGCCTAGCATATTACGTAATAAATATTTCATTATCCATGGTCTCTATTATGTTCTGGCTGCTACGGGGCTCCCCGTATGCCTACAATTAGGAGTAGTGTGGTAGGTAGGTAGTGTGAGCCGAAATTGAGAGAAGAAGAAAATCTTAAATAAAATAAAACAATATTTTTTTTTTCAGAAGTTCCATGTATAATATTTCACAAGAGAGCCAGGGCCGTAAGGTCTTTTTTTTCCTTTTCAAATAAAATTAAATAAATTAATTAACAGAATAAATAATAAAATAATTTACATCAATTAATTATACTAGGCTACCAGCCGGGCCGCCCGGGTCCCAGGTGGCCAGCCCGCGCAAGGACCAAGGGAGGTTCCAGCCAAAAAAAAAAANNNNAAAAAAAACAACTATGTTATGCAGAAAAATAAGCTGAACAACTTTTGCCTCAGGGTCACATCGAAATTCTTCACCAAATTTAAAATAAATTTAAAATTTAAAAAATAATTATTATATTTTTTTATTATTTTTTATTGTTGTGGCCCGGCCGAGCAAATGACCCCGGGCCAGTCTGGTAGCCTAAATTAATAAATAAATAAACAAGACAAGAAATGGACACCCCTGGCTCATTCACCATCGTCAGGCGGCTAATGATTGTGGCTGAGGTGCCCACATCTCACCGTAGCCAACAACGACCTGTTGCTCAACGGTACACATTTCCCCACACACATGTGACTGTTGTTTAACAGATCACGACTCCGAAACAAGCCAGTTGGTGCCAAACCATAGCTGTCCGTGGGAAACAGTTTCTCCAGTTAACAAAGAAAATCAGACGTAAAAATCAGTCCGAAAATAAACCGTAAAAGACAGGCCATGTTGGCGGAGATTTCCCAACATCCTTTTGGAGTAATGGAAGTCTCCAACGTCTACTTGCTATTAACCAATGTCAAGTAATCTGAGGTTATATGATATACATCCTTATGAAACCCAACTCTAAATTGTCAATACCACGCTGTGTTTCCTGTATACCCCCCTGTACCACGGTGTGTTTCCTGTATACCCCCCACTCCCTCGTAAACACAGGGCCTTAAAATAGTTTTTCATTCTTCCCTCTAACGAATCACAGTTATCGAACACTAATTCTCCCTCACCCATTACCCGCCTTTGTAGGTAGGCCTCTATCAATATCTGAACCTAAATAGCAAAATCTGAACCTAGATAGCAAAACACAAAACCTGCATCCCGTCAGTTTAGATTCCATTCTGAACCTAGATCGAAAAAAAATAAAAATAAAAAAAATCCAGCATCCCGTCAGTATCTGGTCCAACTCTGAACCTAACTAGCAAAAAACAAACACCACACCTGCATCCAGTCAGCTTCTATTCCCTCCACTAGGGTCGTGGTTGCACTAGGAGCTGTGCCTACCAGGAGTGTAGCTCCACTAAACCCTGGACAGAATCAAGGCAGAGCTGTGGGACATCGTTTGGCACAAAGAACACTGCCCCTCCTAACCCCCCCCCCCTCCCTCCCCTCTTTGAAAAAAAAGACGAGAAAGTTCACGAAACTGACTCTCCTTCTTCAGGTACCGATTCGTTTGAACTTTGACACTTTGAGCGCATCCAATTCCAGACGGTCAATCCACAGACTGACGGATGGATGGAAGACGATCCAATGACACACCATCCAGCGAAAGACAATCCAATGGTGGAGAGACCAATCGGCTGACGGCAGGAGTTTGGATGTCGAAGTAAAGGCAAATACGTGGCACAGGAAAAGCAGCAAAATGACCTTGAACCACAAGTACAACCGGGCCTGGAGGCGCGGCACTGCACGCCAAGCCAAGCTTTGACGAATTCACCAGCGGCGCACGGGCTGAGCACAAACACTTTACTTTTATCCTATCGCCCGCTAGTGGAACCACGCCCCAGATCTTCCAATGAGAAACCACCACAGACATTATTTTGGGACTAAGACTGACTTCCCTCCAACCTTTTGTCTTCAGCCAAATAGAATGCCCGTCCATTACAGCTGTATCGGGGGCAAATTGCAGTCGCGCCAGTCGAGAAACAGCTATAATTACCAGGCAACGGCAGGCATCCAATTCGGGTGAAGATGCTCTCATGAAAGGCTCCAGCTTGCCCTATATACCTGCCCTACAATTCACAATCTATATGTATCACCACACTCACAGAGACAACAGAGAGAGAGAGAGAGAGTGAGAGCGAGCGACCGAGAGAGAGAGAGAGAGAGAGAGAGAGAGAGAGAGAGAGAGAGAGAGAGAGAGAGAGAGAGAGAGAGAGAGAGAGAGAAAATAAGTGTGCACCTTGTGGATAATTGTGTCGTCGCATGTTTACGGTTCATGCCGCCCTCCGCAGCAGCATTGCTATGACAGAGATGGAAAAATTACACACCCACAGTGTCCCACTTCTCAGTGAAGCTGGGGTGTGGGGGTGGAGGAGGGGGGGTTGAGAAACACCTTGCAGCTACATCGTGGGTTCCCATAGAAGCCATTACACCCTTAACAATCGCAACCTCTCTTCCCTAAGTCCAACCACCACACACAACACATCGCACGACAATTACAAATAATTAGAACGAAACTTACGGAAGTGAACGGCATTCCAAAAGAAGTGTCATTCATGACCAATCTTTTTTTTTTGTCCTAAGTTTCTAGGCCAAAAAATCGGCCATAGAAACGCAAGCAACCTTCAATAGAACAGACCATGGGAAATCAACTAGAAAAAAACAAACCCACTTCAGCAACACACGAGAAACAGAAAATAATGTACACACACAATGAGATCATCATCCTCTCAAAATAATACATCAATTTCTCCCTCGTGTCTCGAAACAGCTGCTGGCCGCGGCTTGTGTAGACTACCTACCGCGCACGCACACCACGCTGCAATATGGATGAAGGAAAGATCCAAGATGGCCATTCGGTCCATTGCCCTGATCCACACGATTGGGGGAAGCCAATCGCACTCGGATCGTGTGGCCACGATCGTTTTGAGCTGGAGCTTCAACAACAGGAGAGACTTCTTTAGTTTACGTTCCAAGACGGCCTCTCGCTCTATTGCCCTGCTCCACGCAACGCGACTGGGAAACCATTCGCTTTGAAGTTTAAAGGCAGACAACCTACGGCCATGAGCCTTGCTAGCTGGAGATTCCAGGGGAGACTTCCGATAACAACAACGAGCGAACTCCTCTAAGAATGTCAATAGTAGTTCTGTAAGCCAAAAAAGACTTCGGGGCCTCAACCCCCTTCATCAGGTACATTTCATCGTCCTGTATGTAACAAGGGAGAAAGCCTCAGAGAGAAGAAAAAAAATCCATTTTCTGATGTCCTCCCATTTTCTGATGTCCTCTAATTAATATATGCTTTTTGTTATGGCAGCCTCAGGCAAACCCTCATTCGCCTTATTGGATCATTGATGGCCACCCCCACTCGAGCCAGGGGAAACGTGAGAGGTAGACTTCTTATCATTCCTTGTGTGAAACCAGCACTTCCCATTCCTTCTGTGAAACCAATTCTTTTTTCTACCTCTACCTCTTCTCCTCCATCCACTCACTCACTCACTGACATCCTCTGGGATTATTATTCACTTGAGGATTCGTTCCGTGATAAGTTGATTTTTCATCAACTATATCTGCAAGCTAAGTGGTACCGCACACTGCTGCACATAAGCACCACCTGAGTTCCTTACGGAATCATGACAATTGGCTTGCACATCCAATGTGCGAAATGGGGTGCAGCACCCAAGAGAGCCAGCATATCTGATTCTGTGCCAGCCTGTGTACATCGGCCCATGTCTGGCTACAGAACTGTGGCCCCATGGGGGCCCGTATATGGGCTACGAGAAACAAAAGGTGAAATGAACAAGTGCACAGCACCAAGCAGTTAATTTGGCGTTCAGGAATACTTATAGCCTTCTCAGTTCCCTTCTGGAGATCTCACCCAGCCATCACCCCGCTTATCATTCACAGGGCAGCGAGGGGATATCAAATGTGGGCCAGATGCTTCCCCTCCTATCTGGAGGTCTCACAGCCATCAGCCAGCATAGCGCTCATGCCTTTCCCAGGCCTCCAGCACAAGTCTTGAAGAGCCATTCTCCCAGGTCCCTTGATGATCAAAACAAGCTGTAACCAGTTGTGGGTCACTTGCTTTCATTTGGCATGGAGAAGGGGCGGAGGGGACACAGAGAGAGAGAGAGAGAGAGAGAGAGAGAGAGAGAGAGAGAGAG